ATTGGAAAATATGACCTTGACTTGATTTCATTCATTTTTTGAAGTTGTGACGTATGTGCAAAGGAATATTATACTACTGTAGTGATATATTGAAGTTTCAGTGCACTAAATACTTTGAGAAACATATGCTTACAAATATTTCACGAAATTGGTGATCAGTGTCCTGTACCGATCACTTGCCAATATATCCATTAGTGAGCCTTTCTCTACAACATCAACTCCAGTGAAGCGCCACATAAAAACGTTGTCATCGCCATGGCCGACTTTATAGGTCCCTATAAATAAAGAAAAAGATTGCTGTTCTTCATTCAGTCACAGTTAGAAGGTATAATTGGAATATGGGAATGGAATAATCTCATTATTTCCAAAACCAAATATATCTTAGAACATTTCTCGGACAGTTCAATTTTGATTTGATTGAAATATACATGAGTCTCCTACCCATTCATTCGTTTCTGTTTGAGCAGAAATACTATTAAAACTTCAATGTATACATAAATTTTGATTGCCAATAAAGTTATAACAACAATAATTCTCGAACAAACTCTGAGAAGCGGCAATATTGTCTACACAAATCATTGAGATTTCTGGTAGAGATTCTAATTCATACAAGTGAGTGGTAATTTTTGTCGGTTATTCGACCGAGAAGATACATATAATAATGAAGATGATGGAAAGCCCTCATTTCGAGTGACAACGGAAAATGAGAAAACTCCAACGCCCCGCGTGAGAGTCGAACTTTCAACCTTTGGGTTACATGCCCAACGCTCTGCCAATTGAGCTAAGGGGACATCCGTCGATCAATCGGCAGGAAGGTCAAGTTCTCATCACACCCTAGGCGACAGAATCCCTCCAAATCTCAAAGTCGCTCGAAATCATACACTATATGAAGCATCGTTGGCAGGATGGTCCTATACAGTCTCCATTTTTTCCAGTTCGCCCTCTGGCATTGTCCTCCCTTCAATACGAAAATGTCCGCAAGCAATCTATACATAGAAGTGAGTGATAATTTTTGTCGGTTACTCGATCGAAAAGGCAGAGCATTGGGCAGTAAGCCAGAGGTTGTGAGTTCGACTCTCGCGCAGGGCAGTGGAGTTTTTTCATTTTTCGTTGTCACTCGAAATTAGCGCTTTCCGTCATCTTCATTATTATATTTTAATTCATAACATTCATTCTCGAGTAACTTATATAACATTTAGAATGGAACCATTTTAGAATGACGTTATTGATCTTTTCTACTCTAGATGTTGAAACTCTAGTATAATTTGTGTTATAAATTCGAAATACTACCAGAAACATCAATGATCTCTAACACTCGTGTTGACAATGTGAACGCTTCTCGGAATGATTGGAAACTGAGAACCTCCATAGATAATAAAAAGGTACCTTTCAGGCATTGTACGTACCTTCAAAATCTGGTTTGATTTCATTGAATGCTGGTGAACCATAAGAGAATCGATAAAAATAGACGTCACTATAATTGGATTGTAATTCAGCATGACGAATGATAGCACGAGTGAAAGTAGTATCAGAAAAATACTGAAAAAAAATTCTCCATGAAAATGTTCCTGGAAATGATTTTTAATGAAGAAAGACTATAAATAGATAATTTGAAATTGTTCGAAAAATGATGTTTTCAATGCGTAATTCTTGTATCTTTTTACCGAATTCTCATCTGCTACCGTTTCCGAACTCACCATACTGTCATACTGTTATACTGTCATACTGTCATACTGTCATACTGTCATACTGTCATACTGTCATACTGTCATACTGTCATACTGTCATACTGTCATACTGTCATACTATCATACTGTCATACTGTCATCAACGCATAGAACTACGTGGTATTTTGGGTTAAAAATGTTCGGAAACATCGAGATTCACTTCCTGATTCTGAAAGGATAGTTGCGGCTCGATTTGGGTGAAATATTCGCGAAACTATCCTTTAATAACGTGAAAATGTACTTGGCCTCATTCGTGTTCGGCCGGTAACCTCTGATAGTGATTCTCAAAACTTACTGCGAAACTTAAGATTTCAATAGGTATATCTTCCAAATAATTTTATTTCGACAAAATATCATTCTTCCATTTCGTTTTGTTTTTTCGTTTCCTGTTACCCATTTCATTTGTTGCCCCAATTTCTAATTAGATAGATTGACATTTTTCATGACTTGACGCTTATAGGCTGGTTCTCGACCAGAAAACCGAAATGTCAACTTTGACAGTGGTAAAGTCGTGTAAAAGCTTATAACATGCATGGCTGGAGTTCTTGAAGTTCCATGAACGATTTGATTTCCTGAAATTCTCAAATTGAAAGATATCAGAATTGGAAGTATAAATATTCAGAGAGCCAGGAATGCCAGGATACAATATACCTATTTGCAAGTAGTTGACTCAGTTGACTATCACGTTGATATATTGTTGTCGTTTGAAACATTCATTTATGTGGATTTTTCAATGACAATAAGGAGTAATTCGCTTATTTCCTGTAATGTTTGTTATCCTCGGAATAATTTCCATAGAAGATAATTCACGTGTATGTATAGATGATAATAAATCAATATGTATGGAACGTACTGAATTCGAGAGTTGTCATATCATAATCAAAATATGCCACACTATTTTCAATGAAATAGGTACCTACATCAATGAAATATTGATTCCTATATTTACTCCAGGACCAATAGGTATAGAAAAATGATCCATTGATAGTATACCTTTCATGGCAATCTGATGTTCTAAATGATACTCGTTCATGATGAATGCAGAGAATCAAACATAATATTCGGTTTTATAAATTATAGGTCAGCAATAGTTATTTTTGTATATAGTGCACGAAATGCTGCACGACTATTACCAGAGTATTTCGCGCAAAAATCATTGTTCTAAAATAAGTAATATTATGTTAAGCTTGACATAGAAAATGGTATTGAACTGGCTTGAAAATGCTATGATAATCATTGAACATTTCGAAATAAATGATTTCTTGGATTCCTGCTAGCTTGATAACCATAAAGGTTAAACATAAACTTCATGTAGTTTACGTACAGTGCACGAAATATGTATTTCGCACACTATTCCGCGCACAGTGTCGTGGTAACGTATAGGGAAATAAAGAAAAGGGTCACTTCGCATATTTTTACATTTAGTATGTTTTCGAAGAACAGTGGTTCATGTGGTGCTAATCAAACAACATTGGGACATTTTGAACGTGAGTAGGTGCGAATACCTAGGGTGGTTCAAGATTCAGTATTCTTATCACCCTGTATCTGTTCCGATCAAATATCAGTAAATAGTAAATCGTAAATCAAAACTTGAGATAGGGACATGTGAGCCGTTTTGGCCGATAATAATTAGTTTCGACACAAAAAAAATCCTAAAGTTGAAAAATCTCGATTTTGAACACCCTATATCTCTGTAATCATTTCCGATAGACCCCAAGTGTGATGAATCGAAGGAATCAGCTCTTTAGGAAGAATCTAAAAATGCAATAAAATACAGGGTATTCTATTCGAAATAACAAAGTTATTGTTACTTTTTGATGAAAGCGGCAACACTGCATTGCTGAAAATATTTTGAATGAAGAAAGCGTATTCTAAAATATAAGCATTCATATTTCCGTGGATTTCTCCCGACTGATTCTCGATATAGAGATAGTGTAGGCTCGTCGTGACATACCCTGTATATATAGTTATTAACGTTACAAGGTTGGTATGTAGCAAATAACGGTTGAGGTTGAATATTGTGATACGAGGCGCAGACGAGGATTATAACTACCGAATCCGTAATTTGCGTATATTGGCATGATGGTGTATGTGTCGTTCGAGACTTTTCGTATCCTCTTGGTAATCCTGCTGAAATATTACATTTTGATTCTGAGGAAGAAACAAACCACGTACCTCGTAATTCTACAGAAAAATCCCAATATCGTGTTGTCATGGAACAGCATAACAATATCACAATAATATTATAACGACCGCGGGCCGTTAAACAATCTTAAGACAGAGGCTGTTAATATAACCTTTTAAATTGTCATCTGAATATCATTAACCCATTAGCGCGGGAATTTTTTTTTTCTGAAATTGTATGGGCATCAACTAGTGTGAAATGCTTTCGAAAGATGAGAAAAGTTTAAAGAATCATAAATGGAATTCAGGTTTTCCAAAACTCTGCTGTTGCCATATGACAACACTAGGCGCTTGTGATACATGTTTTGGAATATTAACACAAATACTCCATCACATTTTGAACACAGTCTTTGTCAAAATTCAGCTATTTTGCATGGCTACGTCTAATACCGAAGTGACTAGGGGCCAGTACGAATTCCTATACGTGGTAATAACTAATATTTTGCGCCATCTGATCAGTTTCGCCCATATACAAATAGTACCACTCGATAACTTTCAAAAATAACGCATACTACCTGGTTTCTTCTGACAAGTGCTGAGTAACTTCGTCGTTTCTCGCTCAGTATTAGCAGAATTCCGAAGAGAAGATTGTCCGGCCAATGGTTCAACATCCATTGGCTTGGCCGAAGATACACCATATTCGCTGAGTATAAGCGCCTAGTGTTGCCAGATGGCAACATGAATATTTGATGCAAATTTTCTACACAAAAAACAATCCTGCAATTTTTTTCAATCAGTCACATATATAACTTGAAGCATGTGCAACATAATTATGATAACAAATGTCGCAAAATGAAATGCGTGAAAACAGGATGATACGTCCATGTTTTACGACAGTTCAAATAAGCTCGAAATTTCACAAATTCATGTGGCCGAAACAGCTTACTCACAACAAAGAAGTGGCGGCATGTGCTTGACCGGTTCTTTCGCGAATCATGTGGGCTGTCTCTCACCCTAATAGCTAAATATTTGACTGCCAGAGAATTATTTGAATCTCTATTTGCCTAGCGTTGCCATATGGCAACGCACGGCGCTAATGGGTTAAATCAGAATAACAGTAAGGGGTTACGATAAGAAGAATATTTGTACCTTAACAGTTTTACCCAAATCATTAGCAAACGGTCCAGGAGGGTATAGATTGCGAATAGCTTCGCCAATTCGTTTCTTCTCAGTTTCGTCAACTATATTCATATTATCAAGAACCATACTCGCAGAATCCTCGTCTAATGTTCTTGCAGCATCTTTCCATTTTTCAACTCTCTCTGATAATACTGATGTGACACCTATTGAATTGAAAAAGTATCATCACATATACGGGACGATTTTGAGATACGAACAATAAGTATTGTATGAATATGATCAAACAATCTGACGAATATTCTCAATATGATGTGTGAGAAACAAATACCTTTATCAGCACAACGTTCCATACTGTGGTTTCATACCAAACACTGTTTTACCTCTAGCAAACCAATTTTTCAACGCGTCGTCATCTATTTCGCTAACCAGGGGAAAATCAAAACTCGATATCCTGTTCTAGGTTTTATACTAGGTGTGACGCACTTGATATTTGACCTATCTTCTTAAAAAAAAAAAAAATAGTAGGCCGATTTTATTTTTTTTTCTATTTGTTGGTAGGTAATGCATTTGTCTTTGAAAAAAAATAAAGAGGTGAACATTTTCTCGAAGCCTCCTTAATGGTGTTGGAATAACTCGAACCATGATTTATTCTTAATTTTTGACTCACCCTGTGTTTTAATTGAGTAATGGAATAGAAAGTGCTTACACCCAATTTGAAAGAGGCTTCTTTTGCGAGCATTATGTTTCTTTATTCATTGATTTATCTCTGAAATTTTCTGAATTACAGCTTTTTTGCTGAATCCTTGCAGATTACCAACTTTCTGAATTTATCGAGAAACAATTTTCTAATGAAATGAACTGATACCAATAATTTTAAAAAGCATTTTCATCAAACACAAAATTATAAATTGGGATGACTGCTTAATACCGTGTATTGCCTCCTCTAGCAACTCTAAGAACTTCTAATCTACGAGGCATACTGGAAATTAAGTTGCTTATCGTTTCCATTGGTATACGATCCCGTTCTTCCACTAATGCATCTGCCATTTCGGCGAGACTTTCCGGAGACCTCTCCCGAGAACGTACCCTTCTCCCTGATTCATCCCACAAATGTTCTATAGGATTCATATCGGGGCTTCTCGCAGGCCATTGTAATGTGGTAATACCAGTAGCTTCTAAGAAGTTTCGCACTATTGCTGCGGTCGGGCATTATCCTGCATCATTATAAAATTATTGCCCACTAACTCTGCATAAGGTGAGACATACTGCTCTAAAATGTCAATGTAAATTTGGGCATTCATCGACTGCCTCACCGGAAAAACATGACGGGGTGTCTTTCCATTCATTGAAATTCCTCCCCACACCATAACGGACACACCATTGAAACTTTCGCATTCTGTTATTAAATTTTGATTATACCGTTCACCAGTTCTTGTCCACACTCTTTCTCTTCCATCCACCATGTTAAGGCAAAACCTTGACTCACCCGTAAACAAGACATTCGACCATTCAGGAATATTCCACTGTCCATAATTTTCAACAAAATTTCTTCTAGCAGCGCGATGTTCGGGCAATAATTTGGGACCTTTTGCAGGTCTTCTAGCTTTTGAATTAACTTCTTTCAGACGTCTACATACCGTCTGCTTACTTACTGCAACATCACGAATTTGGCGAAGATCTTGCTGAACATTTACCGTAGTATATGATCGATTCCGTAAAATCCGCAATCTCAAGAAGCGATCATCTCTTGGAGACATTTTTTGGGGGCGACCAGAACCGACCCTCCGAAAGGTGCTTCCTGTTTGTTCGTACTTGCGGATTGCTCTACGAGCAGTTGCTTCATGAACTCCCACTGCACGAGCGGCGTAACGTTTACCACGCCCATCATTTACTAACGCAACTAATCTCTTATTTGAGGCATTTTATGCAATTTCAGTCAATCAAACAAGACACTTAATTAATGACAAAACGACAAATGGTCAAATATGGAGGCATACAACAAATTAGTTGCTTTGGCAACGGCATTTGTTTTTTTAAAGACACTGTGATCCTACCAGAGTACAACCCAATCAATTTTGAGTACTCTGATCCTTCAATAAATTTAATTTGTGGGATAAGCAAAAAAGCTGTAATTCGGAAAATTTCAAAGATATATCAATGAATAAAAAAACAAAATGCTCGCAAAAGAAGCCTCTTTCTTATAGGGTGCAAGCACTTTGTATATCATTACTCAATTACCACACAGGGTGAGTCAAATATTAAGAATAAATCATGGTTCGAGTCATTCCACCACCATCAAAGATGCTTTGAAAAAATGTTCACCTCTTTATTTTTGTTTTTAAGACAAATGCATTACCTACCAACGAATAAAAAAAAAATCGGCCTACCAGTTTTTGTTTTTGTTTTTTTTTTCAAGAAGATAGGTCAAATATCAAGTGCGTCATTTTTTTTGGAACTGAGTGTATAACATCTAATCGTGAAACATACCTACTGAATAAATTCATTTTCAGCTAAACTAGCCATTTATGAGGAATCTCCTGAAACAGTTCGATTTTCATTTTCATTTTGCCACATTTTTAAAAAGAAATTGAATATACAGGGTGATCCACGTTCGAAGTATGACAATCGCGACAATTTTATCAAAGAGATTACCCTATACAGAGTGTCCCATAAGTTATGGATCAAAAGAAGTGGGGTGGTAAGAGGGATCATTTTTAATCAAACGGACCATATTTGTGTTCATCCAATTGTTGATGGTTCGAAAGTGATTAATTTTGATTCATTTCTATAATAATATTCTTCACAATACAACTGTCACATTGGTGATTTTTTCTTTCACGAATTTCATCCACATGGATGCACTTTTTCCTATAGGAGTTATATCATAATATAAATAAGAATGTGTTACTTCTTATCAATTATCTGAGTGAAATGTTGTTTTACTTAAGATTCCTCATTCAATGAAATATTTGAGATGTAATGCTGCTGGTAGATTCGAAAACTACTCCACAAAGATAAACAATTATAAAAAGAAGTTGCCCATTCAATACAGATTTCAAAACATATAAAGTTGTTCAGAACAGCTTTTTTGTTATATTTTTTTTTTCAAATCGGTCGCGTCTTTCAGAAAAACAAATAACTTTTTTCTACATTCATGCAAAAAGCAGAACTTTATTGAACTATATTTAGTGGAAAGAGAAGTTCTTTATTGCACTTAGTGCAATAAAGTTTTTATTGCACTCATCTGTCATTCTACTTCAACGTGCTGTCATCATGACAAACATTTTTTATATTGCAACTGTGGTTATAGAAACGTCAGTCAAAAATTAATTCTGACAATTTACAGAATCATACCTAGTGCCGCACCTCAATAAATCATTTTTTGCTTTTTGCATGAACGTAGAAAAAATGTTGTATGCAACTCGTGCAAAAATTGTTTATTGCACTCGACGTGTTGTCCAACTCGGCCTAAATAATATTCACTTTTTGCACTTGTTGCATAAATAACTATTGAACTATCAACAATTTGATAACCACATATACCTATACCGTTAGTTTCATTGCAAATGACTTCTACTAACACCCCACTTTTTTCGATCCATGACTTATGGGACACCCTGTATATAATCACAATTTTGGAATCTCCATGGAAAGCTGAATTCAAGAATATATCACACAAAGGGTTTCTATTCAGTGCGTCCGTTAAATTAAGTGCTTCCCTAAAGTACTGAATAAATCCATTTCTGAGGCATCTTCCTGAAACATGTCGATTTCACTGTTCAATTTGCAATATTCATTAGGAAAAATAAGAATACAGAGTGATCAACCTTTGAGTTGTGACGTCAAATGGAACACCATATGTATATTGAATTTTATCAATATATCCATGGAATGCTGAATTCAGAACTATATTACACATAAGGTTTGTATACAGTGCGTCCATTATATTCATTGCCATCGTGAAATGGTCCTCTCCCTAATAGCACACAACGTTCTAGGGACGTCCCTATTTGGTACAATTAAAGTCCGAATGTCCCGGAACAAAAATAAGTGTCCTTAGGACGTCCCATCCCATACATCGCATGCAATGTCCGAGCAAGGACGTCCACGGAATGTCCCAGCAGGTACATCATTTCAAATATCCTAGAAATAGCAACCCTTAGACGTCCCACGTGGTACATATTGTGGAATGTCCATGCAAGGACGTCCGTGGCATGTCCCTGATGGGATATGATTTTAAACGTTCCTTTAGGGACATCCATCGGATGTCCCAAGCAGTACATATTCTGGCATGACTTCAGATCTTATATATCATGTCCCTTCTAGACAACCAAGAAATGTCCTTGATAGTACATTCTACTACTTATTTACTAGTACTTTGAATACCTCTGCACAGACGCTCTTAATATTTCCAGGATCGTATAACAATCGAAATGTCCCTTAGGGAAATCCTTCGAATGTCCTTTAGGGATATCCGTCGAATGTCCCAATTGGTACATGAACTGTACTCTTCCAATGTCCTAGAAATAATGTCCTTAGGACGTCCCAGTCGGTACTTTCAATATGTTGTCCCTGCGAGGACGTTATCTCACACCCCGCCGACGAATGATTGCTCGTAGGGTATAAATACTCAATGTCCTTCACGTAAGTCCATTGGACATCCTTGAAAAACTTCTTCAGGATCTATTGGGGACCTTCTACGGACCATCAACTCAACTGGATGTCCTCATCAATCATGCAAGATCTGGTCCTAGAGGGACCCAGAAAAATTCGAATTTAAGAATAATTCGTACGTCCCTGGGACATCCTATGGACATCCAATTGATATCCCTCAGCGTTGCTGATAGGTTGTCCTACGGATGTCCTAAGGATGTCCTCCGTATTGCTTGATGAGGAATACTGTAGGATTTATATATTCGATAGTTGTCCCAGGGACATATCCCCCAAGGACGTCCGTAGTTGGTCCTCAAGTGGGACATTTGTGCGTCCCGCAGACGTCCACTGGACGTCCACGGTACCAAATTTGAACATCCCATGGACGTCCTGAAGGTCCCGACAGGACGTCCTAAGGATATCCATGGGACATATTTGTGTTATTAGGGCTATGACAGACATTGCGGATAGATCGGTTAGTGTATTTCACGGTTATAAGCAGCATTGTATAATAGGATACTTTTAGTTAGTCTTCCTCTGAATATGCTAACAAAGCTAGCGAAACGCATGTCGAGGCGTTAAAAAATCGGTTTTATAATAGTAGTGAAACAGTGAACTGTGATTATCGTGTCAATGATTCCAGCCTTCAATATACAGAGTGAGTCATGAGGAACTGTACATACTCCGACCACGAATAAAGGCCCTTGAAGGGAATACCTAATGTCCATCAAAAAGTGTCTTCTTCTCGTCTTCACCAATCTATTAGGGTTAATTATGAGATTTGGCAAAAACATCTTCTGAGCATAACTTTTTTAGCTTAACAGCTCCCTCGATTCATCTGATTTTTTCATGATGAAATATTCCTCTACTGAACCCTAATCGACTGGCATTTCCAGAATCAGGAAAATCCAGAACCGTTGTTGAAAAATTTTCATTATTTAGTTTTTATCAAAAAGTTCATCCTGTATATGGGTTTTGTAAACAATGACAGGAAATCTTCAAAGCACACAAACAAGCATCAAAATAAAATATTCAAAATTTTCCTCACACTTTCACAGAATTTTTCAAATAACGATCAATTATGAGCAAAAACGAAAGTTTGATAACAAATTTATTCATTCAAAAATAATTACTTCGCAACGCATAAATTTCACAAATAAAAGTAAGACGCACATTTTCAATGCTTTAGCACATGTTCTTTCATTTCCCGGACTGGATTCCGTCATTTCATTTTTTGTGGAGGATAATAATCACCCTGTAGATCTTTTTCGAATCAGCATCTGTCCATCAGATGTTAATGGTCATCGATCCAAATAATGCAAGATAGTCGAACAGAAAATGAAGGTTTATTCACAATTATTTTTCAAAAGCTATACTGGCAAAGGCGGATAATAATTTCAGTACGGAAAATAAGTGACCAAATTATTTGAATAAAACAAATCGAATATATAAAACTGTGAATTGAAATCATAAAATTATTTTCACCGATGACCATCAAAATTTTCACAGATACCTCATCCACTGATTAGAGAAGATCTACAGGGTGATTATTATTCTCCACAAAAAAATTGAATTACTGAATCTATGCCTGAAAATAAAATAATATGTTGATTTTCATTGAGCTGAAGCATTGAAATTGTAACTCCCACTTTCATTCGTGAAATTTATGGGTTGCGATGTATTTATTTCCGAATAAATAATTTTTTTGCCAAATTTTTATTTTTTCATAAAATTCATAGTTTTTCCAGACTGCAGTGGAAGTGTGAGGAAGATTTGGAATATTTCATTCCTGATGTTTGTGTGTGACCTTGGAAGATTTTCTTTCACAGTTTACAAAAACGATATGCAGGATGAATTTTTTGCTATAAATTAAACTATCGAAATTTTTCAAGAACGATGCTGGATTTTTCCGATTCTGAATAAGTTATTAGTCGATTAGAGAGTAGTAGGGGAATATTCCATGAAAAAATCAGACAAATCGAAAGAGCTGTTGGAAAATTATGACTAAAATATGTTTTGACCAAATCACATAATTCTCCCTATATATTAGAAAAGAAGTGAAGGAGACACTTTCTATTGGACATTCGGTATAGCCCTCAGGGGCATCTATTCGTGGTAGGAGTATGTACAGTTCCTCATGACTCACCCTGTATAAACGTTCGACATCCTGTTACAGGAATCTGCGGCAACAATAAGAGTGTCCATACTGTCCGTCATCAGCCGAAGAATGAAAATTGATCGTGGAAATGAAAAATGTTACATTTCATATAAAATATTCGATATTCGCGAAACTAAGGAATTGATATAAAATTCAGACCCGCTGCAACAACTACATTTGTAACTTCTGAAATTTTCTGAACGCTGATAATACAGTGTGACCCATTTAAGATGGAAGCACCCTTATAAAACTTACATTTTTCAACCGATTGGAATGATTTTTTTTTTGTTAGGTAGATATTCAAAAAGTCTATTAGGACACCAAATATCATGAATAAATCTCCATTTCCAGGGCCAACTAATCTGATTTTTCAAGGTCAAAAATCTAAAAAAATTACTAGCGATTTTTTTAGAAAAAAATCTGACTACACCACTGGATTTGTGACATTTTCAAATGGGTAACATGTAAATTACGTTGAAATGCGTCAATCAATAAAAAAGTTATAAAGGAATGAAGTTTGAAAAATATGCCGTTTAATCAACCGACCAATTCATGTTCAGGAATTTTATGAAAATTCTGTATACTCCACTGGATTCAGGATGTCTTGAAATATTACTGATCACAGTTTCATCGAAATCTGTTCAGTAATAAAAATTGATGGGTTGATTAAACGGCATATTTTTCAAATTTCATTCCTTTATAACTTTTTTATTGATTGACGCATTTCAACGTAATTTACATGTTACCCATTTGAAAATGTCACAAATCCAGTGGTGTAGTCAGATTCTTTCTAAAAAAATCGCTAGTAATTTTTTTAGATTTTTGACCTTGAAAAATCAGATTAGTTGGCCCTGGAAATGGAGATTTATTCATGATATTTGGTGTCCTAATAGACTTTTTGAATATCTACCTAACAAAAAAAAAACATTCCAATCGGTTGAAAAATGTAAGTTTTATAAGGGTGCTTCCATCTTAAATGGGTCACACTGTATATACCTGCCCATTTTTAAACTACAGAGGGAATGAAATTATTGACTGAATCGTCAAAAGATATTGAACCGGAATATATCCAGATTTGCTCATGTTAAGGAAGTGGAAATGAAATATATCGAAGAGGAAATTATTTAGCACGATAGTCACCTATACCTATATACCGGGTTACTCAAATTTGAGGGCTACCATTGGGATCCCGGAAATTTTTGAATTCCAAGTATTGCCGGAGATAGAAAAAAAACTGAAATTTTGGTGAATCATTCAAATTTTCTTCTATGTGTTATGATTCTTTGGAGAATATCAAAATGTACATTGTTTTGTTTCGCTGCTATACGATGACATTTGAATCACCCAGTATATAGATACGCTTTCCAATAACCATATTTCTATGTCTTTATGAGGAACTAACTGTCATATTTGGTGAATGCTTCCTCAGAAACGATACCGATGAGTAGAGGTACTCTATCCATATGTCCTTCTTGTATTGCTGAATACATATTTTCAGTAAGGAACGCTTTTTCGTGATCTGGCTCTATAGCAGGAGTGAAAGGCCAACCTTGAACATCCATCTGATCTAATAGAGATTTCTGTAAATGAAAAGTAGTGTCTTCAGTGGAAAAGTAATGTGATATCTGGAATCAGTGATACATTGATTGAATATTTTCACCTAGTAGGGTAAAGTACGGTTAGATGCCGCGGGGGGATAGATGCCGCAGACTACGTGACGCGAAAACTATGTACACATGACAACAACTCTCGGCGGGATGGAAGAGCTATTCGGCCATTATTGTTTTGCATGCGGTGGATGCTTCGATTGAGCAAGTTTTTAACTTGAATTGTGGGAATAAAGTTGCTAAGATGTACTTTTATTGCTTAATATTTATTTGTATGTTGTTAATAGTATTGGGGATAAAAGTTTAAAATAACAAAATGGGATAATTTTACATTTATAGTGTTATATAGGGCATATTCAAGATTTTGTTTTGTATTTTCGGCTACAGAGTCATAGGGCGCAGGCGTAGGCTGGTGAGGCATCTATCCGTATCAAAAGGGAGACATGCCGCACTTTTTGATACAGATAGATGCCACAAAAGTTTCAATGATAAAATAGCATAATTTTATATTTTACCGATCATAGAACATCGAATAACTTCACATCCGACAGCGAAGATGAGTTTCCGTTATCCGATTTGAAGGAAAACCAAAATCCTGAATCAGCCAAGCAAGATACTGACAAACAATTTTTTTGCGTGGAATGTTTTGAGGATCACAGTAAAACCTCCAAGACAGTGGATTGGATATATTCTGCATAAGATGCAACCCATGCAAACGTGCAGAACTACAACAATAAATTGCGACATCTCTCCCTTATGGGAATTAACATTGGGCATCTCTCCGCATGACTATAGGCATCTCTCCGTACCTGGGGGGGAGAGTTGCCAGAAAACACTTTTTTTTCCGTGATTTTTTTTTAGTAGTAGAGTTTTTTTTATGTTGTTGTAGGACCAATATTTCGATGAAAAATAGATGAAAGAATGATCGTATGTTTTTTGAAATACATATTTTTTGTTACTCGAGATTTTATATATTTTTTACAAAAAGTGCGGCATCTATCCGTATTTTACCCTATAAAATTCTAACAATAGTACAATCATACCAGAACACTTGAAACGAATTTTCTTCTAGTTTCTAAACGAATGATCCGATTTTCATGCAGTTTATACCAATCGCTTCAATAAAATATTCTACATAAGGGAAAGTATTTATTTATGAAATTTTCGACAGAAAAAAAAATAAGTACACTTAATTTCTATGTAATCATAACAAATGGGGGTTTCCCTCAAGTGGATGTAGGTTTTTTGAAATCAGGTATCAATTTTATTTCGGAAGATTGAAAAGGCAGCCGCTAGCCAATCTGCAGGCAACCCAAGGGCGCACGGATTTTTAACTAGACTAGTTTTAATTCGCTCAGGTGAGTCAGGTGCTCAGTGTGAGTTCGTACTTTTTCCAGTTCGTGTACCTATTCGTAATCATGGAAAAAGTGAAAGAAATGAAAGGCGCTGCGGAGGGAAAAAGATTATTTGCAAGTGAGAAAAGACGTAGCCGTAGAAGAGCCCAAAAGAAATCATTACTGAAGAGGTAAGTCATAGTATTGGAATAACTGATAAAACGTATTTTCTGCAGATATCTAACTCTGAAAGCGACAGGATTATAATTAGAGAAATGTGTGTTTTCCATGTATGCATTGAATTACATAAAAATATACAAGGGCTCTAATTTGAGATAATGAAAATAAAGTGCTTCAAAATTTGAAGTTTGCCAATGATTTTCAATCATCATGTGATGATTCTTATGCATATTTAAATCACCAAAATCCTATATGTTGAGTAATACTTCTTTCTGACGCTCCCTATTATCATACGTACCGGAAAATTGTGTACAACTGAATCTATCTCTTCAGCTGGAACTGTACGTAGAAATTTGAGTAATTCTTCGGAACTGGCATTTTTATTGAAACTACTATCCAATAATACGGCAAGATGGTGAGCATTCCTTTTGTAGTTTAGTTGATACGACCAAGAAGATAAAGACGTGCCACTTTGACATACAGCAGAGTTGTACAGACCTGATGGAATAGTGGGACAAACATCAATGTTTCTTATTGAGAGGACAATTGTACGATAATATTATAGTTCCTCCTTTTTCTGAAAACTATAGAATCAAATGTCAAGTCCCAGTATCAAATATAAGTGCGCGTTCTTAGGGCACGGAGCCCTTAATTTTTAATAAAAACCCGTTTATTCTCAACCCCTCTTGTCACCAATATAACCACTATATTATGATGGAAGACATCGGCATATCCATCTCAAAATATTGTTTCACCTTTATTAACTTCTTAAAACGGCTACTTTTATAAGTCCGAAACATGTCCCCTCGATTGATTTACATCAGTAATAGAGTAGTGGAGATGAGTTTGAGCTTTCTTTCTTCCTTTTTTATGTAATTATTGTTTCAACTAACCTCTAGATAACTTGCTCATCAAATGCAATCCGACTGATGCTGCTCCTGAACTATGCCCTACAATACTGATTCTGTTTGGGTCCCCACCAAAATAATGTATATTTCGATTGACCCATTTCAGTGCTAGAACCTGATCTTTCATGCCATAGTTTCCAGGAATGACATTGTCACCAGTTGAGAGGAATCCTATATTATGGAATAGATATTTACTCAACCACTTGTGTTACGATGCGATTTTGCGAGACAAAAGCGAAACGCAAAAGAGTTACACTCTGTGATTGGCGGGATCTCGCTTCGTTCGTAAAATCCCATCGTCACATAACTGCGTTTCCTAACTAGAAACTTACAAATGCTCACAATATTTCGTTTTGATTGGATGAGAATTTCACACCTAACATATTCGACCAATTAGAAGTCTGCATTTTGTATCGTTACCATAGCAACTGAACGAATTTCTGATGGAAATGTTTTCCTCCTCCTTGGGTGAAGGAGTATGAAATTACACTGGAATTTTTTTGATGTTTATAGATGAAATGACATTGACATCCACTTTAGATTATGTCAAATGAAATTGAGCTATTATCGACTTTTTTTCTATTATTTTATCAAACTTAAAAGTCAGTAAAGTCGGTTGATTAGGTATATTCTATTCAACCGAATAATTTACATTTCATTGATATAAAATAGTACTTCAAGTTTCTTGTGAGAAAATGAATTTATACCAACTTCAGTGAAACGATTATGTACAAAACCGAGAAATGAGGTCACTATCGACTTATTTTTCATTATTTTATGTAACTGAAGTGAGTTAAATTAGTTTTACTTGCCATAACAATGTTATGGATGTGAATTTCATCAATATCTGCTACATATTGCTTCGATTTTTTTGTAACAGAATATGTTTCCACCAACTTTAGTGGAATAAGTTAGTCAAGAATATTGGTTTAAACTACCACCAGCTAGCTGCCTTATAATTGAGAGGGTTAGAAAACACAAAATCATCTCCACAACGTTTGATAAAATCGGAAGATTATTTAGGGAAACATGTTTCGGACATACATGTGTCCATCATCAGCCTCAATCCTCACAAAATAATATAAACTACTCAACACTAATTTCGTCGCACACCAAAATGTCGCCCCTGTTATAATGTGAATAACTTTTTTCAGTTTAGAACAATTTGAATTTGGTTCAGACTGTTCGATAGCCCAATCCTTCAGCTATAATCTCGTACTTCAATGAAATTGATAAGGGTATTCACATAAAATCTCTACATGGTGTTTTCCGACACTGTGCAAAATTTCGGAATATTCAAAAGGCTCTCAAATGGTGAAAAAAATTTTTTTCTCAACTTCGACAACAGAGGCATGAAGATGATCTTATTACCTCGAGATGTTACGCGAATCAACTTCCTATCTCTCTTATTTACAGAGTGATCTCAAAAAATCAACTTTTTGGTTTTGCAGCCATAACTTTTTTCCACGTCAACCGATTTTAGAAATCTTAGGCTCATTTTGAAGATAAAACTTCAGATGAAGAGATCTGGATATCAGAATCGACTCAAGATGGCTATCAAAGTTCTAGAGTTTTCTTGAAAGTGACCCAAATCTGGAACGCCCTTCGAATCTCGGTTGGGAGGAGAATTGGATGAAAATCAACTTGTTCTCGGAAAAACAATTCATTCTGGATGCGTCCATATTTTCCTCGCTCTCAGTAGTCAAGGAAGTGCGTGAGAAAACACAATTGAAACATGTTCTTGCAGAAACATCAGATCATTTCTCCTCTGTAATGCATGGCCCGTAACCAACGTTACAAGAATCACAGTAAGTGACTAACAATTCAGGTTAGACGTCGTTTTCGAATCATAAACAGATTTCGATAGTTTCGATGCCGCATCTAACGCGAATGTGGGTGACAACTTTGTTCTCGTAAGTGAAATTGTTTATTTCAAATGTATTTTTTACGACTTATACTTTTTTATATATTTATATACCTGACTTCATAGGTTAAATGAAACTTTGTCAACAAGATATTTTCTTATGACAATAAAGTATATTCTCTCTCTCTCTCTCTCTCGTTGATGACAATGCGAGACCGCATAGGGTTGTTGGTACATCATTTATGATGAGCCTTAGCTGGTCGGGTTTGTCAGTCCATTGTGATTCTTGTAACGTTGGTTACGGGCCATGCATTACAGAGGAGAAATGGTTTGATGTTTTTGCAAGAACATGTTTCAATTGTTTTTTCTCACGCACAATTCTTGACTACTGAGAGCGAGGAAAATATGGACGCAACCAGAATGAATTGTTTTTCCGAGAAAAAGTTGATTTCCATTCAATTCTCCTCCCAACCGAGATTCGGAGGGCATTCCAGATTTGGGTCACTCTCAAGAAAACTCTAGATCTCTGATAGCCATCTTGAGTCAATTCTGATATTCAGATCTCTTCATCTGAAGTTTTATCTTCAAAATGAGCCTAAGATTTCTAAAATCGGTTGACGTAGAAAAAAGTTATGGCTGCAAAACTAAAAAGTTGATTTTTTGAGATCACTCTGTAAATAAGAGAGATAGGAAGTTGATTCGCGGAACATCTCGAAGTAATGAGATCATCTTCATGCCTCTGTTGTCGAAGTTGAGAAAAAAAATTTTTTCACCATTTGAGAGCCTTTTGAATATTCCGAAATTTTGCACAGTGTTGGAAAACACCATGTAGAGATTTTATGTGAATACTGAATACTGTAGTAGCCCATCCTCAAGTGCCACCACTGGAATCACCTGTAGGGTACCGGTTGGTACTGATAAGAGAAGCGAGACGTGGGGAGTGGACATCGATATCTCACAATGAGAAGATCCATTCGTTTGTTTTTAAATGTTTCACGTATATTCTTAGTTTGTTATATTAATCATTTTTAATATCAGTAAACCAGTAGACACATGTCGATAGTCGTTTTAGTGTGCCTGCTACAGATCAGAAGTGAGATTTGAATCTATCCGAAATAATCGTGATTTATTTCGAAACGGCCAACGACGTGCTCAGTGAAAACATCGGTCATTTGAATAGAACAATCCCGCGAATCCCGCGAATTATAAAAATATCGGACATTAACAAAACTGTGTTACCATTCGACATTATTGTGAAGTGATCGTATAGTTAATCTTGCATCATTATCATCATACTTTTTTAACAGTGAATACCAAAATACAATCAGTGAAAATAGTGAAATCAAATTTAATTTTCCGCAAAAAAGTGTAAACAAACGTGGTCGAGTCTCGAGTCTACAGTCCAGCCGCCCAGACTAGTTCTCCCCACCAGCCACGAACAGGTCAAGCCATCGATAAACTTGGTCCATCGTGCATGGAGTTTCTGCGCTGCGTTTCAGATTTTCTAGCTCGCTGAAACTTTGGGAATAAAACCACTACAACCTACAACGTTGCCGGAGCGTACACAATTTCGGTAACTTAGGGAAAAATACGAAAATTCCAAAACTGTAAGTAAATTTGACTCCCTTACTTAATTCGAGGATGCATCGACCAGGTTCTGTGCCTTTGGAAACATATGTTGACCAGCAGGACGACGTACGACCTGATACGGCACCACCATTAACATTTTACTATGATACACCTCGAAGAAACGTACAATTTGACGAGCAATTTGATCAAACACTACCTTCACCGTTTCTTAAACCACACGAAAGGTTGCCGATGTATTATCCCAATGATAATGTCAATAGGCATTACATGCCAAACGTTGATTTGCATAATGTACCAGTTCAGCCACAATCTCGAATAGGAAATCCCCCGCCGACTTTTGGACCAAACGAAATTCCCCCATGCAATTTTCAACCGAACTTTCAACGGAACTTCACCACATATTCTAGTGCTCCAACTGCTACATTCCCAAATTATCATCAATATTGCAACAATGTCAATCATCCTTCACAATACACCACTCAACCTGGTATAGGTCCGTTTACTCACATACCTTCAGCAATACCGAGAATTCATTTTTCTCATGAAGCCGATTATGAAATCGTTGAATTTGACCCCGATAATCAGTCAATAAACCCCGAGAGATTCATTCAATCTGTTGAAAATGCAATGCAGTTATACCACTTGAACGAGAAAAGTGCAATTCTGCATGCTAAACTGAAATTGAAAGGAGTCGCTAAACAATGGATCAATAGTGAAAATCCATTTACATCTTGGACAGCATTCAAGTCACAATTCTTGGAGAACTTTGTTGTTCCCACACATTCTATAGATATTCATCAAAGATTGCGAAACCGAAAACAAAATGATCACGAATCTATTCGATCGTATGTTTTCACTTTGAAATCAATCGCTAGAGGATACGTTGATGAATATAGTTTGATAACATACATTATACAAGGCTTACAAGATACATCTTTGGCAAGACATTTCTCGATGGACATTCCTAATTCAACCTCAGAGCTAATTAGGAAAGCTGATAATTATATGACCTTCGAAACTACCAGGAGGTATACCCAGAGCATGAATACGAGAGAGAAATCAAGGTTTTCGTCGAAATCAGATTATGTGCAAACAACAACCAAGAAAAACCCTCAAGATTCAACTGCTACCACCAGCAGAAATATTCAGCTGAATAATCAAACCAGCAACCAAAACCACACTGATAGTATTCCTTTTACGACATGCCCATTTTGTCTCCAAGGAGATCATAGAGTTCGAGATTGTCCAAAAATCCCATGCAACAAATGTGGACGACAAGGACATATGGCCAAACACTGTAATTCTTCAGCAAACCCTTGCACTGACCTGGGTAGGAAATCATTGGTAGTTGAATCAACACCTCAATCATCTCATACTCCAATGGAAGATGATTCTGAGGAAAAACGTACATTGGTAGTAGAAACATCTGAAGATGATATGACCATCAATCTCGAAATAAATGGTCATCAGGAAAATGTTCTTGTTGATACAGGCTCAGCAGTAAATCTGATAACTAGCTCCAAGGCTGCAGCATTGAATATACCTACTTTAGACGTGGACGATAAAGAAATAAAACCTATCAGACTAATTGGACTCAACGGAGCAAACTGTAATAATATTGGAATAGCATGTGTTCCTGTAAAAATCAAAGATCAGACTATAAACACCAAATTTCATGTAGTAAGAGATACCGCTATACCTGTGAACATAATAATAG